TCAGTCCATACTAATAAATTATTTAAAATAAATCAATCCATATTTTAAAATAAATCAATTCATACTAATAAATTATTTAAAATAAATCAATCTATACAACTACAATAATAAATCAATCCATATTTTAAAATAAATCAATCAATCCATACAAATAAATTATTTAAAATAAATCAATTCATACTAATAAATTATTTAAAATAAATCAATCCATATTTTAAAATAAATCAATCCATACTAATAAATTATTTAAAATAAATCAATACATACAACTACAATAATAAATCAATCCATATTTTAAAATAAATCAATCCATACTAATAAATTATTTAAAATAAATCAATTCATATTTTAAAATAAATCAATCCATACTAATAAATTATTTAAAATAAATTAATCCATACTAATAAATATTTAAAATAAATTATTTTAAAATAAATCAATCCATATTTTATAATAATTTATTTTAAAATAATTTATTTTATAATAAATTATTTTAAAATAATTAAAATAAATTATTTTATAATAAATTATTTTAAAATAAATAACCTTATTAAATTATTTAAAATTATTTTAATAAATAACTATATTTTATAATTGTTCTTGAAGATGTTTGAAGACCTTTGAAGACATAAAACTAAGTCTGCACCAAGAAGAGCTCGCGCAGACGTTTGAAGAGCTTCTGTCTTCTAAAAAACAAACAGTCTGCGAAGCCTAATGTCTGCGCGTGGTCTGCGCGACGCAGACATAAGTGGTTTGAAGAGGTTGCACAGTGAAAACAAACACCACCTTAGTGTCATTCTTTGATATCTGATATGAATTATCTAAAAATAAAAAAATAGATCGGATCTTTAAATTTTCAGATCGGATCATCCAATCAGTGGATTTGATTGATCGAATCGAATCTTTTTATATACCCCGATTGATAGTTAGGCTGGCGAATTAGATATACCCAATTTGGGACTGAGCTTGCTACTACTACTACTAACACAACTTTTCACAAGTAATCCGTTTCGTGTTGGAGTTTTACAACTGTGTATGTAGTTGAGAGTAAGAGACATGGCAACTAATCCCCTTTCTTTTTGCGTCCACCACCATGCAAGTTGCTATAGGGTGCCCATGTGGTCCTAGAGATTTCAATTAAGTCCTTTGGTTGAATTTATTCTTAGGGTTTACCCTTTGGGCTTTGGAAACATCTTCCTTCATCACATAGACATTCTCAAAATCACATAAAAAAATCAAATCATTCGAGTCGGATATTTTTAAACACTCATAACCGCTACGATCATGTGCAAGAACCTCTCATAACATCATCAAAGTGCAACATCCGAATCATTCAACTCAATGGGAGCTCAATGCCATGACGAAACAAAGATGGTCAACGAAATCATGACTCCATCCATGTGAGACAACCGGTGCATTTGGACAACTAGACCAAGGGACCATTCAGAAAACATGAAAATTGCAACCAAATCAAAACGAAAAGATCAAACTACATTAGAAATAAGATACAAAGGCCTCGATAATTAGTTGGTCTAATGAGATAAAATATTAAATCTTAAAAAAAGGTCAATAATCGAATCCCGACGTATGTGAACGAACAAATGAAGTTGGGAATGTCACATTCAATTCCAACGTGCCCATAACTTCGTTTAACAACTCTGTTAATGTTAAACTTGTCGGTTCCCTTTAAATAAGTTCATGTACAACTTAGTTGATGTTAAACTTGTCAGTCCCCTTTAAATAAGTACCGCATCATATATTTGATAAAGTTTCATGTAATTTAACATTTATTGCATAAACTATCAGTTTTGGTCCGTTTTAATACTTAAATTTTCAAATTTTTTTAAAAAAATCATACATAACATTTATTTTTTGTTTCATTTTAGTATCTCATCATTAATAACTTAACGGGTGATTTGCATGTGGTACCTTTTTTATAGGTAAATTATATCATTCATCACTCAACTTTCTTCTCACTCCTATTTTGGTTACTAAAGTTTTTTTTTTTTTAATTTAATTACTTAACTTTCAAATTACTCCTAATTTAATCACTCTAACTTTCAATTTTTTTATATTAATTATATATTAATAAAATAATAATAATAAAAATGCCATGTCACAAAATAATTAATAAAATAAATTAGAGCGATTAAAATATGAGCAATTTGAAAGTTGAGTAGTTAAATAGAAATTTTTTAAACTTTAGTACCAAAATTAGAGTGAGAAGATAATTGAGGGATGAATGATGTAACTTATCCATAAAATTGCAATGTCGTTAAATTTTTAACAGCGAGATACTAAAATGAAAAAAAAATACTAAACGTTAGATATGATTTAAAAAAATGAAAGTTTAGGTACTAAATGTGTAATTTACCCTCTTACTAATTATCTCTAGGATGCGTTTGGTTCACAGAATGTAAGATTAGCAGTGGGAATGTAAGATTACCAGGGAATAGGATTACTGGGAATGTTGTATTTTGTGTTTGGTTGGTTTAACAGGATTGTAAGATTACCGTGTTTGGTTAAAGGAATAAAAGATTATTGGAATGTATATTTGATCAAATTGTCCTTAATATATATTTGTTTTTTTAACAAGTTGAAAAATATTTATATATTTTCTTTAAAAAAATTAAATTCATAAAATTTATATATATATTTCTACAAAATTGACAATATAAAAAGGTTTAATGAAAGGGTAAAATTTTATTTTAACCCCTGAACTTCATATAAAAGTTTAATTATAGATTTTTTTTGTAAATCTAAAATAGTTTAAGAATAGAGAAAATAACTTCAGTGACCAAAAATCCCAGATAATATACGATTTTGACCAATTTTTTTTGGATTTGCGAAGATGACCAACAAAATCGCAATGCGATCTCTAATTCGCATTGCGATATCCACTATCGCAAATTCGCGTTGCATTTCGCGTTGCGATAGTTGGAAATCACGTTGCGATTTTCCATTTCGCGTTGCGATAGTTGAAAATCGCGTTGCGATTTTCCATTTCGCGTTGCTATAGTTGAAAATCGCACCATTTCGCGTTGCAATTTTCCATTTCGCATTGCGATAGTCTACAATGTCGTTGCGATTTTCCAAATTCGTTGCGATAGTCTACAGTTGTTGTTGCGATTTTCCAAATTCGTTGTGATAGTTAAAAAAAAGATTTTGTTTCTTAAGAATTTTCTCTAAAAAGATAGTATCCGCGCGTACGTGTCGAAGACACGTATTACCACGACCACGACCACGACCACGACCACGACACGAGACGAGACGAGACGGACGGCAGCGGCGGCGCGCGAGAGTCCCCCTTGTTCTCTATCACTCAACAAGGAAGTGGGAAAGCCAAACCTTAAATACCATTCTCAATAGTGTTTCCAATACTATGTGAGATTTGAGCATTACCAACACTTGTTCCCAATACTATGTGGGATTGAGCCTTAAATAGTGATATTATTTTTGAATGTTTTGCTTAAAATTGCAATAATCGCGATTGATTGTAGATTGACTTTTAATTATGACATATTTAATCGTATAATACTAATGCAATTGGTTGCTGATTCAGTTGTTTTAAGTTGCATGATTGTTAATTGTTTCCTGAATAATCACATTGTATTGGAAACAAGTGTTGGTAATGCTCAATCCCACATAGTATTGGAAACACTATTGAGAATGGTATTTAAGGCTTGGCTTTCCCACTTCCTTGTTGAGTGATAGAGAACAAGGGGGACTCTCGCGCGCCGCCGCCGCCGTCGTGGTCGTGGTCGTGGTCGTGGTCGTGGTCGTGGTCGTGGTAATACGTGTCTTTGACACGTCCGCACGGATACTATCTTTTTAGAGAAAATTCTTAAGAAACAAAATCTTCTTTTTTAACTATCACAAACGAATTTTCGCAACGAATTTGGAAAATCGCAACGACAACTGTAGACTATCGCAACACGATTTTCAACTATCGCAACGCGAACTGGAAAATCGCAACGCGAAATGGAAAATCGCAACGCGATTTTCGCAACGAATTTGGAAAATCGCAACGACAACTATAGACTATCGCAACGAATTTGGAAAATTGCAACGACAACTGTAGACTATCGCAACGCGAACTGGAAAATCGCAACGCGAAATGGAAAATCGTAACGTGATTTTCAACTATCGCAACGCGAACTAAAAAATCGCAACGCGAAATGGAAAATCGCAACACGATTTTCAATTATCGCAACGCGAAATGCAACGCGAATTTGCGATAGTGGAGATCGCAATGCGAATTAGAGATCGCATTGCGATTTTGTTGGTCATTTTCGCAAATCCAAAAAAAGTTGATCAAAATCGTATATTATCTGGGATTTTTGGTCACTGAGGTTATTTTCTCTTAAGAATAAATTTGTAATTTAACATTCGTAGAATTTTTATTATTTAATTACAGAAGAATGATATTTTTGAGAGAGAAAATTAAGGGCATTTTGTCCAAAACGTCAGTAATCCAACAATACCTATGGAAAGGGAAGTAATGACATTCCCTGTAATATACCCAAAAAAATCTACTATTGGTAATAAAACATTATCGGGAATGAGATTCCCGGCCAACCAAACATGGGAATGTGGATTCCATTCTCTTGATAATCTCACATCCCTTGATCCAAATAGCCCCTAAAAGTAAAAGAGATGGAAACAATTTCGAAAAGAAACAAAATAGTTAGGAGCAATTTGGAAAAGGAAACAAATGAAAGGTTGTTAGACTAAGCTTTAGGATCATTCATTAGTTGAAAAAGACTTGCAGAAACATTTTATACCAACTCTCCTAGGTTGTTTAGATTCAAATCTCAAAATTAATATTATTTTTTTATGGTTTTTACTTGGATTTTTCTTCCAATTAATCACATGTAAATAACGGGGTCTAAACTAATATTCATCACAATATTACTAAATATTTAATCGATTAATTTAATTTATTGATGATTTACTTTAATTATATAAATTAAAATATGAAGATCGAGTACTAACATGTTTAATTAAAAAAATTTCGTTCACAACTATTAATTTAAATATGACTCACAAATAATTAATTTTTATTATAATTTTGAATTTCATTTCCGCTAATAAAAAAACAATGTCTTTTTTAGAAGTTATCGACTCTCTGATATTCAAAATCTCTTGATAACCCCTAGATCCGGCCTATGCGTTTCGACTAAGTCTAGTGGATCACATTCATGATTCTTAAAGATATTTTTCCAAAACCATTATTCAATCAAGGTAAAATCACATTATAAATGACGTTTATGAAATTATAATAATTTATACTATAAAAACACAACTTATAAATATAATAAAAAAATAAAAAAAATTAATTTAAACATGTCTTAAAAATCTAGATTTACGATAAACTAAATATAAATAGCAAAGGAGTAATCATTATAAAATCCAATACTTTAAAATAAGGTTCATGTTACCAAAATAGAGTCAACTTAAAAGATAAAACATTATAATACGATATACTTCAAGAGATATGTTGATCCTCCAAGTGCTCGATCAGGTGTATCTAACTAATAGTATCTGAAAGGGGAAAACATTTTCGAAAAGTGAGCTAGGCTCAGTGTGTCCCAACATTACTATAAAATCATGATAGATACACTAAACAAATCATAGTCCAGTAAATCTCATAAAATTATACTGCAATAAATCTCATAAAAGAATTACCCTAAGGGAACATCTTAGGGCCTGAGAGCCTACTTAAGATAGATTTCGGGGCCGTGGGGCCTACCTAAGAACACATCTTAGGGCTGCAGGGCCTACACGAGAATGATCTCAGGGCCGCAGAGCCTACCTAAGAGTCACATTAGGTCCGTAAAATTTTTCAGCTTGATCAGAGCTGTACTTTATAAATTCGTATTCCAAAAATTCAATTGCACCGTGACATAAATTCCATAAATCCATAAACATGGTAATCATATACCATTTCAAAACAAAAATCAGATAGCAGTCATAATCCATAAACCATCACATTAAATCGGTGCATCAATAAAACAATAACAAAAGAATTCAGTGTACCACATATTAAAACAAATAAAACAGATCAGTAATAAATAGGGAACACACCTCGATAATAGGTTCAAATAGTAGATTTAGCGATTACTGGCCTCGCCACGCTCTGCTACAGTTTTCGAACCTAATTCATAATAACACTATATTACTAATGAGTAACATAATTAATTCCTGAAATCATAAAATTTACAGGTCTTATGGGTGAATACTGGAACACGTGGTTTAACTGATCTAGAGGAACTGATTCGAGCTGTCGAACGATCATGAGAGTCTCTTGTACCTTCAAACAATAATAATTTATCATTCCAAAGTCTTACTTAATTTCTCAAAGCTAAAATTCTTAAGTATATAAGCATTTTCCGAGTTTGACTATCAATTTGGAGGATTTTGAGTCTGAATTTGACCAAACGGATTGCGGAATCGGAATCAGGACGTTGAAAAACATAAAATATGACTTTTCAAAAATTCAAATTCTTGGTCAAAATCAAAGTCAATGGGTTTGACTGATGATTTGGAGGCCTTAGGGTTCGAATTTGACGAAACGGACTTCGGAAACGGATTCGGAACGTAAGAAAATGTCAGAATAGGTATACTTGAACAAACTAAGGTCGTTTAATGGCCGGTCAAAACCGGTCAAAGTTTGGTCAAAGGTGCTCAAAAGTCCACAGTTAACTATTACGAAAATAGCACCTTTTTCAAAATATTTACTAAAATATCATCGGGTCGGGTCAACCCGGTTCGGACCGATCAGACCGGTCAAACAACATCACCCATCAGTTCGTAACTCCCCCACGTGCAGGGGCGACGCGTGGGGGCGCGTGAAGGCTCCTCCGGACTCCAAAAATTCCTGAAAAAAATTCTAAATTTTTTTAAGAGATTTTGAGTCACTTACCAACCTCGGTTCAAATTTTTGAACAGTGTATAGCTCGATTTCAACTCGGCCGAATCTTTGATCGCTTCATCTCCCACACGCGTCGCCGCCTACAGAGACAAGGAGGACACCGTCGGACTCGGAACGACACAAGGAACACGATGGTGCAGGAGGTGTCGAAAACCGACCAACAATCGGAGATGAATTTAAGGTTTTCTCGACGGTGGTGCTAAAAAAACGTCGAGCCTTTGACTCAAAATTCACGTCGTTTGGCAGCGTTTCGCTGTAATTGGTTTATTGGGTTTTGTTCATGGGTCGAAAATGAACACGACAGTGGTTTTAATTTTACGATTGGAGCTCGGACGGCGTCGGAATTAAACTTGAAAGTAGAGGTACAGGAGAAAGAAAGTTTAAGCAAATTAAGCATTATAATACAAGTCTGTCGACAATCCTCGGAAGAATTCAGGGCTTGGTCCTTGAATTTCCTTCAACTTCTAAAATGACCTATGTGTATTGAAAACTTTTAATTTAGTCACCAAATTTCATCAATATAAATATATTTTTTCTCGTATTTCCCGGTTGTTAACAAGGAATCCATATCCGTAAAAATATCAAACCTCTGAACAAGTTATAGTGCACAAATAAAACCTTTGACAAGTCCATATGATCTCTTAGAGCGAGATCCAAGATCTGAAAATCATATCTATTTAATCTATTAAATTACGAATAGTCACTGTTACACTATGTATAACACCATCAGTTAAAATCACTAAAAACACTTCTCAGTCACGACTCTGTGTCTCCCCTTTTCAACTCTTTCACCCACATTTCTCATCTTCCTCTGCTTTTAACTTCTCTCCTCATATATATCAACATCGACTCACAATTGAATATTTATCCATTACGACTCTTTGTTCAAATTTAAAAAAATTATTGATTCATAGAAATGTTACTTTATTGAATCTCTCGACTATTAAATGTTATAAAATGGTCACCCGATTATTTATATGTTTTTCAACTTGTCATTTTTTGTTAAAAGATTGATAACATTCTGACCTGGATGTCAACTTGTTGACTAAGATATGATAGTCGTTTGAGATTGTGAGATAATATTTTATCATATCACAGTCAGCATGTTAACGTCCAACTCAGTCTACCATCAATTTTTTAACAGAAAATGACGAGTTTAGAACATTTGAAGAGTCGAATGATCATTTTGTAACTTTAAATAGTCAGGGACTCAACAAAGCAATGTCTTATAGTCAATGAATAGTTTTATAATTTTTAATCGTCGAAGGACTCAATAAAACAATGTTCTATAGTTGGAGACCCATTTATTTACTTTACCCTTAAAATAATTATATATTTTGATCATATTAGTAAGATAATTTCATTATTTCATATACCAGACTTTTTGGAATTTTGACTTAATAAATTACTTTTCTTTAAATATTAATTTTGGAAATGAAAGTACCAAGTGGGTACTTTAATGTGTAAAATATAACTCCTCCGGAAATTTTAGGAAATAAACACCATTTTATTTAGGGTAAATTATATATTCGGTATCTAAATTATTAATTTTGGAACATTTTAATATCTAAACTTTTATTTTTTAAATCATACATAACATTTAATTTTCATTTCATTTTAATACCATGCCATTAAAAATTTAACGTGTTTAATACCTAAACTATCAATTTTGGTCCTTCTTAGTATCTAAACTTTTAATTTTTTCAAAACTTAAAGTTAAATTTTGAACCGGTATACTAAAATGAAGCAAAAATTAAAAATTTTAAAGGCGAGTACTAAAATGAAACAAAAACTAAATTTTAACAAAAACATATCAAAACTAATAGTTTATATACTAAACGTGTAATTTATCCTTTTATCTAAGATGGGATGCAATTAAATCTCTGTCCCCCCCCCCCTCCCCGCCCCCTTCATTTTCCCCTGGTTTCCTTCCTCCTTTGATTTAGAGAGAAACCCAATCTCTATGTGTGTGTGTGTGAATCGTCATGATTTTCGACACCAGGTCAAAGCAATCAAACCTCGATTGTTTCCTCCAATGCACAACGCCCGCCGTCAACTCCCAGTTCCTCCCCAAGGTTTCACCCAACTCATCTCAGTTTTGAATCTTCTTTCTTACTTTCCAGATTCCAAGATTCAAGCGCTTTGCATAGCGAGATTAGGAATCTCAATCGGTTATGGCACCCTTGGAGTGTAAACCATTAGGCGTTCCCATCGCGTTGAACAACGTCGAGTATTTCACATTGGGCGATCTCTGGAACTGTTACGACGAATGGAGTGCGTACGGTGCCGGCGTTCCCATCGCGTTGAACAACGACGAGAGCTTGGTTCAGTACTACGTTCCTTATCTCTCCGCCATTCAAATCTTCACCAGCAATTCTTTGAGGTTGTTGAAGATCGGAACTGTTTGTGGTTTACGTGATCGAAGATATGATATGAGCAGAATTTGACGAGGTTTTTTGGTGTTGAGAACTTTACAGGGAAGAGACTGAGCGGGTGATGTCGAGAGGGATTCGTTTAATGATTGGTACAGCGATGAAAGCGAGATATGGAGATGGGACGGTTGTTGCTCGTCGGAGGGCGGTGGCTCTGATCAAGACAGCCTTTGGCAATAGATTGGGTTATCTTTATTTCCAGTATTTCGAGAGAACTACACCTTATGGAAGAGTTCCACTCATGGATAAGGTCACCTTCTCTCCATTTTCTCGTGGGTAAACTACGCATTTAATTAATAAATTATCGGTTTTATTACTTAATTTTTTAAATATTTTTAAAACAATAATGTAATATTTAATTTTTATTTCATTTTAATACTTATCGTTGAAAACTTAACACGATTAGTACTTAAACTATCAGTTTTGATCTATTTTAATATATAAACTTTTGAAAAAAATTCAAAATTTAACGTTAGATTTTGAACAGAATACTAAAATGAAATAAAAATTAAACTTTATATATGATTTTGAAGTAATTGAAAGTTTAGGTACTAAAATAGATTAAAATTAATAATTTAAATATTAAACTTGCAATTTAAGGAAACATGCATGACATAATTTGAATTAGAAGAAAAACAAATTAATTAGTAAAATAATTTCGATTTATTTCAAGTTTCCATTTCGTTCGAATGTCGTATCAGATCGCACTACTTCGACCAATCAATGTTTTCCACACCCATTCTACAAATAAGTGTTCTTGAAGATATTATATTAAAAAAAGCATTAAAAATGAATGAAACAAACGTTTTGTATAATCATTCGAAATCAATTCCCAAGAACAAAGAATATATACATACATAAATAATACATGGTAAAATGTAAGGAAACAAAAGGTAACTATGCAAAAATTAAATTATATAAGTAAAATAATCAGATAATAAAACACAATAATTAAACAAATAAAATTAAAATACAAAAAAATAAAGAGACAGAAATAAACTATTAGAATATTAAAGCAAATAAAATGTAAGTACTGAAATTAAATAAATAAAAATAAAATGCATAAATTTAAAAGTGCATAAAGTTAAATAAAATACAATAAAAATAAAATGTTAATAGTTAGTAATATTGGTTAGAAAGGTGAGTAGTTAAAAAAGTTAGCGGTTAAAAGAGTCTGAACCATAATAATGTGAATCATACATCGGATCTGGTCACCACAAGGTCGAATCGAATAATTCAAACAAATATATATAAATAAAATAAAATAAAATAAAATAAATAAAATAAAAAAGTTAGTGGTTAGCAGAGTCCGAACTATAATAACGTGGATCATATCTCGAATCGGGTCACTACAAGGTCGAATCAAATATTAGAAACAAGAAATAGATAAATAGATAAACAATGGTTACAGTGCAATAAAATAAAAGTCAATAGTTAACAGATTCCGAACCATAATAATGCAGATCATATTCTGGATCGGATCACCACAAGGTCGAATCGAATATTAGAAACAATGAATAAATAAATAACAGTGCAATAAAATAAAAGTTAGTTGTTAATATGTAATAGACTAAAGATTAGTAATTAATTAAAAATATAAAAAGCATGAACCAGTGACCAAATTAAAAGTTAGTAAAATTAGCATGCATATTCGAAATAAATAAGACATAAGTGACCAGAATGAAAAAATCTAAAATATGGGGGACTTAAAGGTAATTTACCCTGATAGTGAAGAAAGCATGAAACTGGGAGGGCCTGTGGGTGATTTACCCACGAAATATGTGACTAAAGGTAAGAACAAACTAAAGGTCTAGGGACCTTCACATAATTTACCCAAAAACAAGATGAAGGCCTTTTTCATCTATAATGCCTCACGAACAGATTTCCTCCCAGGCCAAGCTAGGTCCGGCCACCGCCCAATGGTGGCGTTTCTCACGCCGGTCATTGGGATCACACTCCGCAGCCACCGGACAACAATCGTTCCATAGCCACCGACCACCGTTCGACAAGCCCAAGGCTCCGGTTTTCTTCACAACCCAAAAAAAAATGACGTACAATAACGACCAAAAGACACTTGGCTTAATTATTAAGAGTCACATGATTCATCAATTCGATTAATTTAATTTTTAATTCAATTCGATTTGATCGAATATCTATATCTATCGTTAGATTTTCTAAAATATAAAACGATTTTTTATTATATTTTTCTTCGCGTCTTTTATTTTTTTTTCATGTAATTGATTACATAAAATTATTAGTTTATGTTTATTTATATAATCAAATCTTCACATCATTAAATATAATATCTAAAATAAATATTTTATATCTTAAAAACAAAATCTCATTTAAATACGGTGTTATCACTGTTCTAACTGAGTTAATTCAATTTATAAATTATTTATAATTTAAATACTTATTTAAACTCATTATTAATTCAATTAATCTAATTCATTTAGCTCAGATTACATAATCTCATATAGAATTATGGGTAAATTACGTTTTTAGCATCTAATATATCAGTTTTGATCTGTTTTAGTACCTAAACTTTCAATTTTTTCAAAAGCAAGCCTAATGTTTAGTTCTCATTTCATTTTAGTACCTGCCGTTAAAAGCTTAACGCGTTTAATATCTAAACTATCGGTTTTGATTTGTTTTAATACTCAAACTTTTAATTTTTCAAAACTTAACTTTAGGTATGATTTTGATTTTTTTTTTGAAAATTTAGAAATTAAAATAGATCAAAATTGATAATTTAAATACTAAACTCATAATTTACCCAAAAATTATTTACAAATTAACTAATCATGAGAGTTGAAGTAAGCTTTACTTATTTCACAAAATATTCCTTCGGCATTCAACAAACTGCCAGCTGTCTTTTCTATTTAAAAAAATAAAAAAATAATTTATATATAAACCAAATTTAAAATTAAAACAAATTAGTTGTCGTAATCTTTTCGGCTTCCTCGGTATCTAATGATCTGGAAATTCGCATCTAAGATCTTATCCCTTTAATTTCAATCTGACCGTTCATCTCATTCATCAACAACAAGCACAGAATTCATCCGACAGTCAATAAGGAGCCGCAGCATTTTACACTTTTCTTCCTGTGCGTATACTATGATTATGATTTTTTTGTCGATTTATTTCACGAAAACTCGAATCTCGCTGTTCGGAAATCGAAACCCTCAGTAATCGAATCGGGAAATATATCGCCTGAAATTTCCGTTAAGAATTTTTAATTTTAATTCCTTTTCAAATTTCAATTTTCCCTGACATATTCTCTTGTTTTCTTTTGTAATCTCTTTTCAAGCTTTTTTTTTTAATTAAATTTTCTCGTTATCCAAACAGTCCCATATCTATTGTTATTCGTTCTCTTCGCCGCTCTGAGTTCAAATGGAGATGGCTATGGAGGATTCGCGTTCCAGTACCTTGCTTTCTATTCGCTCCATGGCCTTCGAGGCTTTCTCTGCCGCTGTTAGAACGCGACGGTTTGCTAAGAATCCGATACCTAATTCCCCGCGAATATCTATAGTTGTAGTTTGTTAAAGTGTTTTTCTGTTGTTAGTGTTCTTAAAGGAAATTTGTTGGCTTAATATTTCTTTGCTTGAAACCTGGAAATTCGAATTATCGAAGTAGAAGTATCTTGTTTTTATGAAGTTCTGCGAGAATTTTAGAAGTTCGTTTGTGAATTTGAAGTTTTAGAGCTTTGTGGAATTATCGATACTTGGTTAGGGTTTCATGTGGAAGAAGTTGAAGGAACTTAGAAATTTGAAGTTGATTGCTTTGAATTTTGTTTAACCTTCAAATGAAGTTATGAAAATTGATTCTTAGGACTTGTACGCGCGTGTAAAAAGTTGAAACGAACAAAGAAATACTAAATTTGGATTTAATTTGTGGAATTGTGGATTAAGTTCAGTTAGGGTTTTAACCATATTGTTTAGTTAGAAATTTGAATGGAGGAGAGGAGGGAGTTAGGATTCCAAAGGAAAGGTGCTTGTAGCTTGAAGGAACAATTAGCAAAAACAACTCTGAACAATGTAAGATCGCAAGGGCATACTTATGTAGAGCTTCGCGAGGATGGGAAGCGGTTCATATTCTTCTGCACTTTGTGTCTTGCACCATGTTATAGTGATTCAGTGTTACTTGATCATTTGAAAGGGAGCCTTCACAAAGAGAGGTTAGCTGCTGCTAAGATTACGTTGTTAGGAACTAATCCATGGCCGTTCAATGATGGTGTCTTGTTCTTTGGTGCATCCAATGAAAAGGAGAAACAATCTGCAGTTGTAAATGATAACCAGAATAGGTTGTTGGAGTTTCAAAACAATGATATCCTTGCTGTTGTGAAATATGTTGGCAATCAAGTTAGTTCCAATAACAAGCAAGTGAATGGTAAAGCTGGGGATTCTGATCTGGTGATTCCAGGGGTGCTAATGAAGGATGAAATTTCTGACTTGAAATTGAATTTTATTGGTTTTGGGGAAATTGCTGCTAGGTTCTCCGAGAATGGAGTTTCAAATAGTATCAGCAGAATATGGTGTGAGTGGCTAGGGAAAGAGGCTCCCAAAAATGATGATAAGTCGAAGGTCTCGAAGAATGAATTTGCTGTTGTAACTTTTGTTTATAATTGTGATCTAGGTAGAAGGGGATTGCTCGATGATGTCAAATTACTATTAACATCTAGTTCAACAGCAGATTTGGTTAATGGTGAAGCTGCTACTAAGAAAAGGAAGAAATCATTTTCTGACCCTGAGGATAGTGAATCTTTGAGAAATCAGTATGATTCATCTGGGGAAGACTCTTCAGCTTCAAATGGTGCTTCTTCAAGTCTGGCATTAGCTCGATACGATGATCAGCTTCTGCTCACAAGATTTATATCAAATAAGGCTATAAGGAGGGAGTTGAGGCGGCAACAGCGCGTAGCTGCTGAAAGAATGTGCGATATCTGTCGGCAAAAGATGCTTCCTGATAAAGATGTAGCGGCACTGATGAACTTGAATACTGGAAAACTTGTTTGCAGTAGTAGAAATGTTAATGGGGTATCATTCTGTACTCAACTTGGCTTTGGTTCTCCTTTAGTTATTGCAAATACCTTAAAGTTGCATCACATTGGTTAATACGGAATATGACCATTTTCTTTGTCTAAGCTGGAAGCATTTCTTTAATATGTAAGTTGCATGCACTGCCTAGTTCGAATCTTTTTTACATCTATCATTTTATTTTACATGTAGGCCTTCCATTTATTTCATACTTCATGCCTTATACATTGGATACTCCTATGTGAGGTTGAGAGGATCGAGAACCAGCCAGTTAATCCTAAAGTAGTAAGACGAAGATCTAGGAGAAAAAGTCGAACCAAATCCACTAAAACGGGGAAGAATGGAGAGGCTAAACCCGCAGGAACCCTGATTACTTCTGTACTCTGCCCAGAGTGCCAAGGAACTGGTATTGAGATTGAAGGAGATGAGCTGGAGAAGCCTGAGATATCTCTTTCTCAGGTATGGATTATGTGATTGTAATACATTGAGAAACTGTTCATCGAATTATGCGGCATATATATATATATATTTATTTATTTAACACGGTTTTAATTATAATTTCAGATGTTTAGATATAAGATTAAAGTAAGTGATGGTCGTAGAGAATGGATGAAAAACCCTGAAATTCTGGAGAATTGCTCTACCGGCTTTCATTTTCCTTCTCAGTCTACAGAGATAATTCAGGTTTTCGGGCATCGGCTCACCATTCACTTTCTTACGTGTTTCTTTGATACGAAAAGTAAACTTGGGAGACCATATATGTATATTGAACTTCGCCATTTCTTGGTCGCAGGAGAAAGTAATGCCATTAAAATTGCTGCATTTCTACAGCGCCGACATGTCTGAATGAAGCAGGAGCTTCGTTGGGTGAGTTCTGCAATTCATGTTATGTTTAATGTGCAAATGTGTTTAAACCTGTGGTGAAGTAGGATGATTTGTAAGTATCTTCTGTACATTGCTGACACCTGTCTGCCTTGTAACGACTCAATGCTGTATTGACTTTTTATATGAAGCATATTTCTAATTCTTAATTCATCTTGACTGTACATTTCACTTAAATGAAATGAAATTTTTAGTTGCTGGTTATGCATATATACATGCATGTACCTTTTTTCAGTCCTACATGTTGCCAAAATGAATAATACCGGTACACATCATTGGAGGCATAAGATCATGAAAATTTCATATAAAACAAACTTAAACAGCTGGACAATTGGGGATGTCTACGGAAAGACAGTCTAATATAAAGTTATGGAAATGTAGCCTATTATAAGGTTAAAAAAAGATGTTATTGAAAATGTTAATATTTTTTTAACATTTCTGGTAGAGTGTTATATAAAATGTTATTTTTTTCTACTGAAAATATTAATATCAGATATTACTTAAAATGTTATTTTTTCTATCGAAAATGTTAATATCGGAAATATTCATTTTAGGTAGCGTTCTACCAAAAATGTTAAAAATATATTAACATTTTCGGTAGCGTTTTTTCTTAGCCTTATATTAGATTGTCGTATAACAGAATTATTGATAGGGAAGCGGTGGCGAATTAATGAACGTTGTTCTTGTTGAAGAATCAAACCTAGACAACTCAAGACTCGATGAAGAATAAAGGGGGATGAATAGTAGAAGGTGGTTCCCTTATGAAGGTAAATAGTAAAGATGATGATGATGGTAATGATGGATTTGTAGAAAATAGATAGATAAGTGTCATATCGAACCTTCTTAATCGCAATGAAAAGAAAAACTCGATAATATGACTCTAAGTGTCCTACCTATCCCTTATTTCATTAAAATTTGAATTAGGACATGCTTTCCTTCTTTGTTGGTGCCAGTCGACCTAACTAGATGGGAGCTTGAGTGCTAAGCCAATTAACTAAATAGGCAGATAAGGATGCATTAATAATAATAATTTGTGATAGAAAAAGGAGAAGAATTATTGGTGTTTAAAACTTCCAACTAGGGATGGTTATGTGATTCGAACTCGAATTAAAAAAAAATCAGGTTTAGGTCGGATCATATTCGGGTTTAGGGTAAAAAAGACTCGATCCGGAAAAAATAATTTTATCTTGTATATTTAGGAATAATCACAATAATATCTCTCTATATATTATTTTTTTAAGTTAAATCACTATTTTTATTAAATAAAAATAATATTTTTATTATTTCAGGTAGGATATATATTTTTCAGGCCGAGTAAGGTCGGTTGAAGGATATAAAATTTTTGAGTCAGGTCGGATTGGCCGAAATCCGACCCATGCCCATCCTACTCCCAACTGTACAAGAAAGGACAGATATGAAGTGTGAGGTAAAACAACATGGGGAATATCTTCAATACCATCCATGTGCAAATCGAAGAGGGTTGTTAGCTTCTCCACTAATTTTAAAGACATGGGTTCATAATGAATATATCTTTATACGTTGAATCTCATGAGTTTTGTACCTTTGAAAGAATAACGATCTTTTAACATAATTCCTAATAGGTTCATGAGATCTGTAATTAGAAATCTATTATCGATCGGTCTATCGAGTCTATCAATCTACGAGAAACAATAATAACCATACACTTAACATTATAAAATAATTCAACCAATATTAAGAGAGATCTAAAAATTTCAACCATACACTTAATAATAATAACCATACACTTAACACGGGTGTATAGGCCTTATTTTCAGCTACTCAATGAGTACATGTTTAAAAGATTGTATTTTAACATTAAAAAATATTCATATAAAAAAAATGGTTAAATATGTTGATTTTGAGCTATTTGAGACATGTCCTTAACTTGATTTTAGAAGGCTATGCGTCGCTACTGTCATCTGGTTCGATTCGTGCTCGTACAAATACACGTCTTTGACCCGTATCGTTCGTGTTTATTCTTTTTCGATAAAATTTGCATAATTTTTTGAACTTATTGACATTTAGTGACCACAAATATATAAGATAATATTGTTCTTCGTAAAGGTCCCTAGTTTGAGCGACTATATTTGTAGGTGTGATGTCAAATAGGTTAAGAAAAATTAGGGATTAAGGAAATTTGGGTCAACAATTTTTATTTTAATAATATGAAAGCTTGAATATCTAATAGGTGATGTGTTTTTTAGGTATAATAATAAAATTACTCCGAACATTTGCATAAATGGTCATTTTGTCATCTATCCTTTTTTTTGAGCATTTTAGTCCCTAATATATCATTTTAGAACAAAATGTCTCATGGTTGGATGAAAATTGATAGTTGACTAACTGCTAATGCTTCATACGGACGTGGCAAATCCATGTGCGATACCATTTCAACAAAAAATTATTTTTAGAGTAAACTATAATTATAATTAATTACATATACACTTATAAAAATATATTTAAAAATAGTTTAAATTTTTTCTGATGATGTGGCATCACATATGGACTTATCTCATCAATAGGAAGCGTTGACCGCTAGTCAACTAATGATTTTCATCTACCCAAGGAACATTTTGCTCCAAAATAAAATCTTAAGGACTAAAATACTCTAAAAAAGATAAAAGTAACCATTTATGCAATTATGCCTTTTTTACCTAGAAAGTACCGGCAAAGTGGATCATATTTCATTCCGTTGACTGGACCGTTTCTCCAAGTAAATTTCATATGGTTTAAATACCAATTGAATATTTAATAGGTGAAAATGTTGATTATCTCTACTTATATAGTAATTTTCTAAAAGAATATTAGGGAGATTTGACGATGTTTTTTTATTTTAAACTTAAATGGGTAAATTACGCATTTAATTCCTAAACTATTAGTTTTGGTCTTATTAGTACCTAAACTTTCAATTTTTCTAAAATAATACCTAACGTTTAGTTTTCATTTTATTTTAGCATCTTACCATTAAAAACTTAATGCGTTTTGGTCCCTTTTAATACCTAATTTTTTATTTTTTTTCAAAACTTAACGCTAAATTTTGAACGAGAATACTAAGGGTGTGTTTGTTTGACGTAAAACCAATTACGGAATTGGTTTTCCCCGAAATTTCGTGTTTGTTTCATGTAATTCGTTTTCGGAAAATGTTTTCCTGTGTTTGTTTCACGTATTTCGTTTTCCGGAATGTAATTCATTTTCCTAGTAATAGAATTTCCTTTGTGTTTTCTGTAAAATGACTTACGGATTCATTTTCCGTAAGTCATTTTCCGAATTTTTTACTTCAAAGCAAAAATACTCAAAATAATTTTATTTTATAAATTAGTATTAATAAAATATTTTAATATCATTTTCATCAAAATATAATTATTAAAATATTAAAATATATTTTAATATTTATAATAATATAATATTATTTTAATATTATAAAATCAATATATATAAATAAGATATTTATTTATTTAATAATATATAATAATTTTTTATATATTTAATAATGAATATATTATTTATATATTTTAAAATATTTTCGTAAAGATATTTAAAATATACTAATTAATTTTTAAAATAAATAACACTATTACTTTAATAATAATTTATAATATTAATATTTTATTCACTAAAATATACCAATATTAATATTTTTATTAATAAAATTATAAAAATAATATTTAATAATAAATAAATTATTTTAATATTTTAAAATAACAATATTAAGTTTTATGATAAATAACATTATTTATTATATTTAATATTTGTAATAAATAATTTTTAAAAAACTCTTCAACTAGTGGAAAAAATGTTTAAATAACATCTTTCAAATATCATAAAACGTTTTCCAGATGTTTTCCATAAATGTAATTCATTTTCCAGAAATATAATTCATTTTCCAGAATTCAAATTTCAGTAATTCATTTTCCAGTAATTCAAATTTCAGTAATTCAAATTCCAGTAATTCATTTTCCGGAAAACCAATTACAGCCAAACAAACAGACCCTAAAATGAAACATAAACTAAAATTTTTAAGGGCGATGTACTAAAATGAAATAAAAAATAAATTTTAAGTATGATTTTGATTTTTTTAAAGTTTAGATACTAAAACAGATCAAAACTGATAGTTTAAGTACTAAATGTGTAATTTATCCTAATTAAATTATGTTTGAATTGTAATTAAATAAATTGTCAACTTATTTTTATTATTATATTCAGATTTGTATTAATATTAATGATACTTAATTTTTCACATACGAAATCAATGTTTATTAATATATTTTATTTTTTCAGTTATTTGATTAAGTAATACATGTCCATGATTTGAGCATATGGGTGATATAATCGGGGATAATTGCTTGATTTTATGTTAGTGACGAATTTGAATTTATAAAATTTTATGGTGAACTTGAACTTATAAAATCTTAGGGGCTAAAATAGTTTTTTAAAAAAAAATACATCGAAAAATGTTTAAAATATATGATAATTTTAGATTTTTAAGGAGCCGACCGCCCTCACCCGCCCTTACCTAGGTTCATCCCTGGATGTAATTAATGTATAATTTGTACAAATCAAAATTAATCGATTTCAGTGATTAAAGTGATGATTGTTGTCTTTAAAAATTTTAAGTTTAAGTATCAACGATTGTACGGTATTTGAACGTTAATGGTTAAATGATCACGAGTCTTTAAAATATACAATACCATTTGTTATTACTCTATATTAATGAAAAAATATAACCTAAGGATAGACGTAGAATATTATATTATATATGAATATATAAAATTTAAAAATAATATATAAAATTTTATAGATAAAAATAGATTATTATTATTATAAAGTATAAAAATACTTAAATTTTACAAGAATTTAAAATTTTAAAAATAAAATAAACATATTATATTTTTAAATAAATAATTTAATTTAAAAATTTCATAATCGCTCGAATCAAACGATCTTGATGGTAAATTGAATTGTTATTATTTCTTGAGATTCTGGGTCCAAGTACCAATAATACCGGGAATATAAACGTTTAATATCAAATTATTGGAAATTATCTTTAGACATATCCTACCGTATATTTACCCTAAATTAATAAAAAATCATAAATTTATATTTTTGACATTCAGTTTTTATTTTATGTAAAACAGAAAAGCAATAACTTAAAAAACAAAAACAAACCTTTATGATTTATATTTTTGCTATATGTTCGAATTAATTAATATTAATATTAATTAATATTAATTAATATTATTCATATTAAAATTTTATATTATTAATATGTGTACCTATTTTAAAATTTTTCATTCAAATATCCTCCAAGATAGATAAAAGAAGGGTAAACTACATGCATAACCACTTAATTATGATCAAGTTTTAATTTGACCATTAATTTTTTAATTTCGCCAATCAGAGTATTTAATTATTTTAAAAAAATATCAATCAAGTCACCAACCATAAATATTTAATAGAGAATATGACGTGATAGTTGAAAATTTTAATATAATTACACATTTATTCTCTATTACTTATACATATATTATTAGTTCGATTCTAAATTTAATTCTCTAATTAAATTGTAACATGTGTTATTAGTGACATGCGTCAACTATTACGTTTGAAAATGTTTTACTTTTTTAATTATTTTTTATTTTTAATCAATTATAAGTACTAACCAATGAGTTTTACAGAGCACTGAGGATTGAAAATGTTATATTATCTTGTAATTTGTGTTACACTCAAATCATAAATTTGTTTTCTCATTTGCATGCTTCCTTTCATTGAATGCAACTTACAAAGAATTTGTGGCGTTTATTCTACATCTTCGAATTAGTTTGCTTGTTGGTGGTGATAACATGGAATTAGGGTTTTGAGGAGTTGATGATATGTCACTCCATACATTGGAATATGTGATATTCGATAAATTATTGAGGTATCGGGTTCGAGCAAAATGATTGTAAGATGTGTGAGTGTTTGATGTTAAAAGGTTGAACGTTACCTTTAAAAAGATAGTCTTATACCTACCCTAGATTAATTAAAAAAAATTCTTTATTCTAACGCAAAAAAATTAGTTGACCCTATTTCCATATGTAATGGGGTAAGAGGGAGGTAGGGTAGTAAGTTGCCCCCAAAGCTAGGTTGAGAGAAGCTTCCGTGGAAGACCTCCGGCAGTCAGAATTAGGAATTTCCCACCGTGGGATTAGATCCCTGACCACAAGGTTAAGAGCCTTGCACTCTACCAACTGAACTGGACGGACAATTCATAACAAGCTACTAAATCTCTTAAATAAGATCAACAGTTCAAATCCTAACAGTTATGAACAAATGATAATGTTGATATGTCATGATAAGATAGTTTTGTTTATTTTCTAACGACGGGTGGATAAAATGGAATGGAAACGAATGTTAGATATGATTTTGAAAATAAAAATAATTAGGTGATTAAAACGAAATCAATGTGATAATTCAGTGACTAAATACATAGTTTACCCACTCAGCAATTTTTTTTTCCTTTCTAGAATCCAAAATCTACTTTATTAACACGTTTATCCCTACGCGTTTATCAAAAATCATCAAAGTCCACCCACAAATTTTCCTTTGCCATTAATTAAACTCCCTCTTTGTTCCCAGATTTTCAGTTTCTTTCCCAAACATTTCTGGGTTTTTGGTTGTTTCTTTCCTCTGTTTTCGTTTTGCCCAGTATCGACGTGACTTGTACCCTACTCTAACTTAGAAAAGATGGGTCTTTTGGGATGACATGGAATTGTTCAAAAGGATTCAAAGATAAAGCTTTGATTGTTATAGACTCGTCTAGTCCAAATTCTTCAACTTTGGGGTATTTGGTGGATTGGATATTGAGAATTCTTCGAATTCTTTGATGGGGAAAATAAGAGTTACAAGGGTTTCTTTTTTTGTTCGTTTCAGTTAGTTTTTAGATGGTGAATTAAGGGTTGTTAAAGTAGGTTCTTTGTTGTTATATATCGTGGTTGTGTACATATATTAGAAACATTCTAACATGGGTTGCATGAATTCCAAGTCCGCGGCTGTCGAAGATAGCCGCGAGAGCCACCGAGAGAGGCTGAGGCCAAAAGGGTCATCGGAAAAGCTTGTTCCTCGAGCCAATTCGTCGAGAAGAGAGATCGTTGGATCCAAGGGTAAATACGAAGGCGGTGATGTGAAAGTGTTGTTGATTGATAAGAAAACCAGTGGTTCCAATCGTTATTGTTATAATGATCAGGCTGAGAAGGAGAGGATTATTGATAAATTTGAAGTGATCGACACAATTGATAAGGTCGAAAACTTCGATATCTCAACGATTTCTGCTCATCATCATCATCCTGGTTCAGGAAGGGTGTTGAATGGCATAAAAGCAGAGCAGGTTGCAGCCGGTTGGCCGTATTGGCTTGTTGCCGTGGCCAGTGAAGCTATCAAGGGATGGATTCCCAGAAGGGCCAACACCTTTGAGAAGTTGGATAAAGTAGGTTCTCTTACTTAGCTTGATCCTCTTTTACTTTTTACCGCTATACATAACGGCTACTATTCCGACAACGGATCGCTATTTAAATCCCTAATTTGATCCTTGATCAATGCTCACCATGTATCTTGTAATCTGTAGTAGCGTCCATGGTGATTTAGTTTGTCATAGAAGCTTATCTTGTTATTGTATCTGTAGGATTTGCATTTTCCATGTTGATGTTCTCATTTTACTTTGGTTTTTTGTATGATAGTATGTCATTCTTGCAGATTGGCCAAGGAACTTATAGTAGTGTGTACAAGGCACGCGACGTGATTCATAATAAATTCGTGGCGCTGAAAAAAGTGCGGTTTTATAATCACGACCCCGAGAGTGTGAAGTTTATGGCAAGGGAGATTAATCTTTTACGAAGACTCGATCATCCGAATGTTATTAAATTGGAAGGGTTGATCACATCCCCAATGTCATGCAGCTTATACCTTGTGTTCGAGTATATGGAACATGATCTTGTTGGACTTGCATCGCTTCCTGGAATCAAGTTTTCCGAGCCACAGGTAGTCTTAATTTTTTTTTAAAGTTATTTCATGCTGTTGTTCAACAGTGTCTCTTAATAGAGAAGTGGTCACATATCCTTTATTCTGCAATTCTTAAGGATGTCTCTTCATCGAAATTTCTTTAATTTTTAGTGTTTGTTCATAATATGTTTTTCCATTTTTGGTCAGATTAAATGCTATATGCAGCAACTTCTAATTGGACTTGACCATTGTCACAGCCATGGTGTCCTCCATCGTGACATTAAGGGTTCGAATCTTCTCATTGACAGCAGTGGGATCTTAAAGATTGCAGATTTCGGTTTAGCATGTCATTTTGATCATCGTGAAAGTGTTCCGATGACAAGCCGTGTAGTGACTCTTTGGTATCGACCGCCGGAACTTTTGTTAGGAGCTTCTTATTACGGGGTTGCAATAGATTTATGGAGTGCTGGTTGCATACTTGGAGAACTATATTCTGGCAAACCTATTTTGCCTGGGAAAACAGAGGTACCTGGTCCAGAGCCTAAATTTTTTAATATTTGCAACTTATACAATGATTGTTATTGTCGGAAATTTTAATAGGTATTGTTTTTAATAGATCTCTTTTAATATGTAGGTTGAGCAATTACACAAGATTTTTAAGCTATGTGGCTCACCATCTGAGGAATACTGGCGAAGAGCAAAATTACCTCATTCAACGGTGTTCAAGCCTCTCCATCCATATAGACGATGTGTTGCTGAGGCATTTAAAGACTTCCCGTCTCCTGCTGTAGGTCTCGTGGACACCTTGCTTTCGATCGATCCTGTTCATCGAAAAACTGCAGTGTTTGCTCTCGAGAGTGAGGTATGCAGAATCTGTCAATCATCATCATTCAATTTCTCATGATTAACTTATGTTAGTACCGTTCACCTCTAATTCGTAAATCTTATAACCTGTTATCGGTTTTCACCGATGTATTTCCCCTGGCCTTTTCTCAGTTCTTTACAACACAACCTTTTGCATGTGATCCTTCAAGCTTACCCAAATATCCTCCTAGCAAGGAGATTGATGCTAAGTTGCGGGACGAAGAAGCTAGAAGGTATATGTTAAAATTGATTATATCAAATTCGTCTTTCCTTTTCGGACTTGAAATGACGCCGTTTCTCATTTTCATAATTTTAAGAAGTAGTCTTCATAAGTTAACTGGTTCGTATATTTCCTTAGGCAAAGAGCAGTTGGGAGCAGGTCAAAGGTTGACATGGAACGGATGGGGCAGAAGGAACCGATTTCTACATCATCGTCCATTTCTAATGCCGAGCTTACTACGTCGTTGCAGGTTTTTTCTCTAAAGAAAATTTCATGGCTGTTCATTCAAATGCCGATCGCATGCAACTAGATGGCATTTTTCTTTCTTAATTTCCTTCAGCCCTTGCTTCTCTATTGCTAACTAGTTACAATTTCCCGAATTACAGAGAAGACAACCACATCCTAGTTTGAAGAGCAGGTGTCAGATGTCAAATTCTCGTAACTCTGATGGATTTTCTGGTTTCTTGATTGATCCCCCTAAGCAAACATCTGCTGCAAAAGAAAACGGTAGAGATTTCTCGGAGTATTATAGGAAGAAAGTTTCACATTCAGGTCCGTTGGTCTATGGTGCTGCATTTGGGATGTCTGGGAAGGAACCCGATGACTTTACTAGGCTGTCATCCAGAGCTAACTTATCGAAGTTATCGGATTTAGTAGCGACTAGAACATTGGCTCTCGAGGGTCACAGAGACAAATCCGGACCTTTGACTCTAGAAGCAGTGAACCAAGTAGGCAGGTCTCGCAGATCATTTAATGAATTAGAGCATGCAGGAAAACACGATATCAGACGCCATATACTGAAAACTGCAGAATCCCCACAGACAGGAGGTGGAAGACCCTGCATCAAGGAACCAACGGTTAGTTTCTCGACATTATTCTTTATTTTGTGTTTTGTAACATATCGTATTCTGAAATCTGCGTATTCTAATGAACGCTATTCTCCAGCACGGTCGTGTTCCAAGGGGACAGAAAATCTACGTCTCGGGTCCATTACTCGCTCCATCCGAGAATGTCGATCAGTTGCTTAAAGAGCATGACCGTAAGATCCAAGAATTTGCTCGAAGAGCAAGACTTGACAAGACAAAACCTGGGAAACTACAAGCTCAATGACAGAAAATTCATTGTTTGTCACTGCACGCAAAGCCGGATAGATGTTCTCTACTCTTTTCTTTTTCGATCTTAGTGACGAAGCTGATTAGAAGCTGGAAAATCAGGTAATCTAATACCAAGAAATAATTAGATTACAGGATTTACCATGGGGCTTTTAGTACTTGAAACAAAAGATGTAGTCAATCTCCTTTTGATCCGGTTAGCTAGAAATGTCTTTTGTAGGCGATTGCTACTGCTTTTATACATCAATAATAGGATGACTTAGAAGAATTACACTTTTGAAACTGTTTCTTGGTGTGCCATTGTTGCATCTTCATCGTGTGTTGGCTTGCACCCGTTCACTCGATTTGTTGTTGGGGCGTTTGACGTAAAATCGAACAGTTCGGACCGACTTTTATATCACTTATCATGGAGTCCGACTGCATATTCTTTGAAAAAATATGCACTAAATTTTCAACATAAGAAATACAAGTTATTCATTCAAGTCCAGAGAAGAAGGGAAGATTAAGAAAGGCACATTATTATTAAGAGAACCAGATGGACCTTATCTTGCCTGCTCATTCCCATTCAATTCTTCCATCTACGATTATTGTGGTGTTCCGTTTGTTTGGATAAATTACATGTTTAGTCATTGAACTTAAGCATATTTCTATTTTGGTCATCCAATTATAAATATTTTTAATTTGATCATTGTACTTTATAATTTTATCCGTTTAAGTCACTCAGATGTTAATTCTCTAATGCCATCATGTTGCAGCACAAAAGCCCTACGTTTTGAATCTTTTTATTTCTAAAATTGATCTAATATTCTAGTCTTTTGTTCCCTTCGAACAACACCCTTCTCCGCCGTCGTTCAAACATCGTCGACCGTTATTTGCAACGTAATTGATACTAACATCTTCTCTTTTCTCCTTCTCGACCCTTTTTACCGTTTGGATCTTGTCAATGAATCAAAGGGAGTACGAAAATATGGGTTCGAGATTGAGTGAGGAAAACTCTAGGGGTGGGGCTTACATAAATTTACCAAAATCTCTTTAGGGGTTTGGCATAATTTTAAAACAACATTAAAGAGTTAATGGTGGAATGACCTAAAGAACTAAATTCAAAACTTCAATGATCTGCAATAGACTTTCAACATTTTAATCAACTTGCATTCTGTTTGTGAGCAGTGGCTCCATTGATCTTTGTTAATATTCACTTATGGGAACCTGTGCATAATTTTACAACAGAAATGTCGAGAAAACATTTCATGATGAACAAACTGAAAAAAGCTTTGGGATAGTCGAAAACAACAAGCACCAGTGGTCTAATGGTAGAATAGTACCCCGCCACGGTACGAAATCAGGTTCCATTCCCAGCTGGTGCAAAAAAAAAATTCATATTTTTTGGGCCTGGGCACGACTGCGTCTAAATGGGCCTATTTACCTGTAAGGTTAGTGTATGATTCCATTTCTTGTAACTAATATAGATCGGGTACTGTAGAGGTGAGGGCGACCCTCCTAACCCATTTTGCTCCATTCGCAAACGTCAGGATTTGAACTTCTAACTTTTCTTAAGAGACATAGTGTCTCATCCCACTAGACCAACTGATTGTTGGTTGTGTCGAGTCTTTTGATGCATTTCGTATCTATAAACGTGTACAAGACAACCACACGGTCTTATAAGCCTATTATAACATTATTAACTATTGAATGAAATTTAAAAAAAAAAGTGTTTTGGTATAACACTTTTCTGCTCAAGTTTTAAGCATAAGTATTTTAAAAGGATAGGATCCAATCACACAACGTACATTTTTTTAATTTTATATAGATTTACGATCACTGGATGAATGATGAATGACAATAGATAGTTGAGATTAACAATAGGAAATGAAAAGATATTCAGTGAAAAAGCAAGAAATTAATCTCAACCGTATGTTATCACGTATTCAATGATTCTAAATTCGTGTAAAACTAAAAATTGTCGTAAGAAAGTATTTGCAAAGTTAAATATGTTTTAGTGTAAGTTTGTCAACACCTCCATGAAATATGGAGTGAAGGTTTTCAAATTTGATGTAGGAAAGAAACTATACTATACTTTATACAAAAGTCTCATAGGAAGCTTCACGTACCTAAATTCTACAGAACTTACTGTTCTTTTTGTTGTTGGACTCACTATTCTACAGAATTATACCAATTCGAACATGGTGATAAAAGGAGAAAGAGACAGGAGGGGTGTGGTCTGAAACATGGTGGTTCGGTTGCATTGCCGATGAACTTCCACTGAGCTTACAGGTTGACCACTTTGCGACCCCAGAAGCATATGCCCTGGAGCGCGTGTCAGCCACAAGGCTCCTGCTCCAAAACAAAACAAAAAAGTAAAAAAGGGGTATTATTATATTTCATATATGCTGAAATCAGTAAAGCAAAAAGTAATTAAAGTAAAGCAGCATGTGTCGGCCAAAGATATTTGCCATGTGAGTTTAACTGCTGCGAATGGGAACAACTTTTGTTCATACATTAGTGAGGTTCGACGTAATTAAGAGAAGCACAAGGAACAGGATTCGGGACGGGACAGGACAGGTTTAAGATGAAGGTGAATTCTGTTTAAGGCGGCTTGCTTCAATGCTGTTCCAATTGTAATGACGTGATTTGTTTTTGAGGTGAATTTATTTGGTAAGGTCTCGATTTTTTTTATAATTCCGGATATTACGAATTCAAAGATTTCTAATCATTTGATAATTAATATTAATATCATTAACATATACAGTGTTCGAACTTGAGTTCATACAGTTGGCTAAATAAACCAATTCATCCCTCTATCATGTCATCATTTACATGTAAACTGCAACGTTAATATAATTAGCTCTCATGCCAATATCGTAATGATCAACATCAGTAAAAAAATTAAATTAAATGACTTTGAGAGAAAATTTTATATAATTAAAAATCAAAGATAAAATATTGATTTGGATTTATTTAAGGAGTAAAATAAACCTTTGAACCAAAAAAGTATTGTGTGTAAACATGGATTGGGGTCAAATGCAATGTGGGGATCTAACCCTAATTTTTTTCATTAATTCAATTTTAGGTCCTATAGTTTGAATATTATAAAACAAATAGGAAGAATTATTTGACTGAGTAAAAGAATAGTGACTATTTTAGTGCATGATAGGTAGGGATTGATGTGGCACACGAATCCGACGGGTTATGACCTGACTCGATTTGATTGGATCGGATATTTTACAAACAATTTTGGGTTCGGGTTGGGTTTTTAGAGGGTATGTTCGGGTCGGGTTTGGTTTGGGTTTAGAGTGAAAATACCCGACCCAAAAATTGTAATTTTACCTTATATATTTAGGCATAATTACAATAAACCTCTTTATATTATTTTTTCAATTAAGTCTATATTTTTATTGAATAACAGTGATATTTTTTTTAATAATATATTATTTCTAGTCGAATCGGGTTGAATTCGGATTTTTATCTCGAAAAAGGACGGTCAAGTTCAGGTTGATTGTGCATGATAGGTAGGGATTGATGTGGCACACGAATCCGACGGGTTATGACCTGACTCGATTTGATTGGATCGGATATTTTACAAACAATTTTGGGTTCGGGTTGGGTTTTTAGAGGGTATGTTCGGGTCGGGTTTGGTTTGGGTTTAGAGTGAAAATACCCGACCCAAAAATTGTAATTTTACCTTATATATTTAGGCATAATTACAATAATACCTCTTTATATATTATTTTTTCAATTAAGTCTATATTTTTATTGAATAACAGTGATATTTTTTTAATAAATATATTATTTCTAGTCGAATCGGGTTGAATTCGGATTTTATCTCGAAAAAGACGGGTCAAGTTCAGGTTGATTGGAAGGGTATATTTTTCGGATCGAATGGAGGATATATAATTTTTGGGTCGGGTCGAATTGACCAAAAACCCGACCTGACCGATACCCATCCTATAGATATGTAGTATACACTTTTTAAAAAGTGGCAGGTGACTGACGTCCAAGCTCCAAGTCTTGGTGCGTTATTAAGAAATTTCATTGAAGCTGAGAAAGTCTTGTTCAAGAGACTTGGAGACTAGATCATGTTATGTTTGAACAGCATGGTTCCCCTGCCTGCGTTGTATTGATTTCTAAGCAAACGGTCACATTTAACGGTTTAACAAAATGTGGTGTTGCATGGGAGTGATCTAGTAACCGGATGATGGTATGATACGAATTGACTTTTAAATATTGGTTTTGGTTTCGAATTCAACGAAAATATTATGTCGTTAAATCATTAACAATAGGATGATGTGATAATTTAGTGTCGGTGTGGGAGATAATGTCTTAATTCCACCTCATCAGTTTCTTCATCAAAATTAACATTCTTTATCCATTTCTAGTTGTCGCCGAAAATCGTCATTCTTAAATATCTTTTGCGTTCATTCCAGACAACAATGAACTCGTTTCATTGTCTTTTAATCACTTAAACATTTAGATTTTCTTAAAAAAACTTTTTTAATATCACGAAAGTAAATATAAAAACCCACTATTGGGGGCTTTCTCGAATTTGAGAAATTTGGGGTGTTTGTTTAAAAATTTGAATAGCAAGAAATATTCTTTATAGGAGGCGAACAACATACCTCAAAACTAGTATAATTGAATGACCATCGGAGGAGATGGAACATTAGAGTGTCGAACCTTTAGATGAATTTTCATCAATTATGAGTCAGCTTCGTTCAAAACCAATTTGACGAGAAGAAAATGAGTAAAACACAAATATTTTGATACTGATTGTTATGAATGATGATCGATAATAGGTGGTGATTGACTAGAAACGATGTGCATGAACAAACATTTATTAGAATTAAATGTTTTGATAGGTGTATTGATAGAGATGACCCTATTAATAAGCATATATGTTTAGGTTGGTGTATTATGAGTGATTCGATTTTTGTGTGGTTGTTTAGCATGGTTTTCAGAGCCGGACCAGTTAGCGAACCGGTCATGCTATCGGTTCACTGGTTCAATCGGTCGAATCGGTCTGACCGGTCGAAAAAACCGGACGACGTCATAATTATTTAAAAAATTAAATAAAAATACAAAAAATATTTAATAATTTTTTATATCAAGTCATATTCAAAGCAAGTCATACATAAGTTAAAAACCAAAATCAAGTGAAACAAAATAATTCAAATTAACTACAAACATAATATTTAAGGTAAACATATTAAATAAGAAATATAATTATATAACTATAATTAAAAAATAAATTTGGGGCTAAAAAATCATAACAAAATGATATTGTTTGGTTTAATTTTTTTTAAAAACAATCCCACATGGCTAAGAAATATAGAAAAACAACCCAAAAGTGTAAAGAGTAAAAATATGAGAACAAAACAATCTCACATGGCTAAGAAACATAGAAGAGC